GAGTGGACCGCTTTTAGGGAGACTGCCTCTTAAATCCTTTTTTGCCGCCAAAAAGCCAAAGCTTTGTGCCACTAGTGGGCTATAACATATAGCCTAGTAGTGGCTCAACCAATCAGAACGCAGCATTGACAAATAGACCACTAGAATAGCTGAATTTTACTAAATATTGTTACCTGAAAATGTTCGAAGCCGATTAGCGCGAATCTGAGGTTAAATTTTTAACCCGGGTTCCTTTTTCTTTTAATTCGAAAGCATTTTCTGGGATAATTTTATCCATCCTTTTAAGATCATCTAATCATCATATTGTAGACAAAAAGAATGAAACTGAATTTGCTTTTTAAGCTTTCAAATCTGAATTCAGATTTCAAACTAACCCTGGGTTATCTTAACCCAACTTTGAACAACCCGGCCATGATGTCGTTACAGGCAGGCTATTTTCTACGAAGTTTCTGCGCGATTTGAGGTCTAATCATCTGACCTCAAATCACGCTGACCAGAGACAGTGTCTGTGACGAAGACTAAATTTAGCCAGCGTAGCAGGCGTTTGACAGGGAAGGGGATTCCGGGCGCGAGAGAAGCCCGAAAAGCGCGCGTAAGGGTACCTTGTATCTCGCGCCCAAATTCCCTTCTCCTTCCCTCTCGAACGCTTGCCAAGCCGAATAGGCTAAATTTTGCTAGCCTGCGCCATCGACAATACTAAACCTCTGGCTACAATAGATTAGTTTGCTACGAAGGCTAAATTTTGTTAGCTATCCTGCGCCACCATAGCCTGCGAACAGCAGACATATTTCCGGTCGTCGCTTCTCTCCCTTCGAAAAAATACGTCTGCTGTTCGCAGGCTAGCGCCACCGACGAAATTAAACCTCTGGCTAGAGTAGTTTGGGACGAAGGCTAAATTTTGCTAGCTAGCCTGGGCCACCGACGAAACCAAACCTTGGGTTAGATTAGTCTGAAACGAAGGCTAAATTTTACTAACTAGCCTTTGGATAGATAACGTCTGAAACAAAGGCGGATTATCCGTCTCTTGCATCAATTCGGCCATTGTCTAGCCCTTACGTATACAGATAATGACTGTTTGTGCAAAAAGTTAGTCTGTTTCAAGAATGGCCAGGATATGCCCCTAAAACACAACAACTGGACACTCTACTTGTATTTGTTATGGGAATCCCATAACTGCTTTACTACCATAGAAAAATGATAATACATTTGTATAAGCATAAACCTAACTGGCAATAATGGTTTTACATTGTATGTAATGATTTTTTAAATTTCCTAACTGGCGCATTAAACTGTACAAATTGAACAAACTGATACGTTAAAGCAATGTGCCAAAAATAAGATACAGATTACAGATACAAACCACACTCCAAATAAAATGACTATAATGATGAACTTTCCAGTGTTGGTTAGTCTGAAGCGTCAGCCTTTTCTTCGCCCCCACCCCCCATTAACGGCTGACATTTCACACTATTAGTTGGTTTGCCTCTAAGCCCGGTAATTACTCAGCATAAGGTTTACTATAACAATCAGCACTGCAGTATAGGGAGCTAATTCTGAATGCATGCAACGACCAGGCTTTCTATATATCACACAACCTACACATGTTCACTCAGTTCGTCTCAAGCATTTTGGCCTGCAAACAAGCTCTCCCGCGGCTCGCAGGTGTGACCGGGAAGGAAGAGTGGGGCCAGATCTCCCCGGAGAGCTAGATCACAGGATAGAGCATTTGGCCATGTTTGCCATATCAGAGCTAAAATAAAATGCGGTTCACCATGCAAAACTTATTGTGAATTTTCGGAGAGGAAAGTAATATCTTAAATTAATTAACAGAAAAAAAATTGCAGTTTGTAACTTTTGGTGGGGAGCCTGGAAAACTTTAACGCAACCTGAAATCCACTATCACTCTGGCATTTAAACTCATGGACTTTGTCGTTAACAGTACCGGTTCTATAAGATAGTTTTAAAAACTCCTTCAAACCAATGAACCAGATCAACGTTTTAGGTTTCTTTGATTTTTAAAAAAAGAAAACAGAAACAGCATTGGAAAAACTCCTTTCATACTACACATCTTCTATTTTCATGCCTCAAAATTGTGATGAAGCTCAAGACTGTTTTCAGTTTTATGCACACTAAAGATAAAATAAAAAATCAGCCACAAAAAGAAAACCAACAGACTAGACAATGATTTGTCAACAGTTCTGTTCTAGACCCTCAGTAAGTCAACTGTTTAGAGCTCACCATAACGGGTCATTTGGTTACGGAATAAGCTCTGCAACTTTTAGTGTGGTCCTACATATATGAGTGTCTGAGTGAACAAAACCCAGAATGTCACCACTATCTTATAAAGCAGCTACAATTCAATAGAGTAAATTTCACCCTCTAACCCCACAGAGCAGAGCTGTTATTAAGGACCGGTGGCCAGGGATTTTTCCTGCCTGTTATGAACATGACCCTGCCTACTTCTGTAGGAAAATAGAAGAAAAATAGAACCCAACAAAATCCCTAGCTGTTGGATTCCGCGCCTACTTGTATCATTACCCTGGCAACGTGAAATTTTAATGACAGCCCTACAAAGTGACCAGCTTCTCATTTCTCTCAGACATAAAGGTTAATGAGAATATAGGAAATGTTCAGCAAGTAAGAAGGGGTCTTGATTGTGAAACAACTTCTCATGAACAGTGAGCAGAATATTTTATATGCTGATTTGAAGGGCCAAAAGGTCACTTTGTATGATGTAACTGTGCAGGGCCAGTTGTTCCAATGGTGGAAAATGCTGTCCACCGGATTAATCTCTATCCAGTGATGGGACCTTAATCAACAGGTCGACACATCAATCTGATACTTTCTCTATAGATGCATGCACACGCATTAATTTTGTTCACTTTAAATTTGTAAATGTAGCATATTGTTTTCTATCCAATGAATAGTGTAATTGGTTTCCTTAATACTTGATTACTTGATAGAGATTTAACTGGTGGATAGTGCTATCTATTTTTGAACAACCAGGACCAGAGAGAAGGTTGGAATCTTCTCCCCTGTCTGCATTTGTCTGTTTACAGGAGTAAATACATCCAGAGCTGCAAATGATAATCACTCATCAGACACTGTCCTACTAAAAGTGGCCCACTATTTGACAAAATTCTACATCGAGTTGGACATGATGACCGTTCAGATCAAATACAAAAGAGTATTATTTTGAGGCAAAAGATTTACGTATATGTAGTACTATACTTACAAGATAAAAAGTCAACATAAAGAATGCCAAACAACTTTTTCTGGTACGTCTGACTCAAATGGTTACTTCATTGGACATGTGTCTCTTCTACAACAAAAGTTACCAGATGGGTATTTGCAGCCTAGTACATAATACATAATAAATAAGTTCCATATGCTAGCATGTTATATTTTAAATTCTTTAAACTCTAGGAACAGCAAACGCATTCTGCCTAACCAATTGGACTTCACTTTGCTTTGCTTAGCTTCCTGTAGCGATCCAACCAATCATCAATCAGTTGATTGAGTAATGCTGGTCTGGAAGTCACTTTCTGCTGCGCAACAAGGACCCCACCCTCTGTTACACAACAGTCTAGCCACTCATGCAGTAGGCGCTCTTCATTGCCTCTCTAAAAAGTTAACAGCAAAACAAGTCAAGTTTAAAAATCATAATAGGAATAATTTTTCTACAGTGTGAAAATATCACTGCAGCCGTATGAATGCAAATTAAGCAGTTGCGAAAAGAAAGCCTACAAATGTCCACACTTGAAAAGGGTTTGAACCCATAACTCTTTTTTTGTAACTGCTTTTAGCACCAGTTTAAATATATGGAATTTCATACATTCACTATTACAAATTTAAGCTCTTTAAGAACAACAACATAAATAATAACAACAAAGCACAATACAGCACACCTTTGCACTGGTGGTTAAGTGAGAGGTTGTGCAACATGGAAATGGCCTGTCCGTGCAAAACATTAGGGAGTTTAAAATGTCACAACCGCGACGACAACAGGAATTTCAAAAAAGCAATGTGTCAAATTAGCAAATCAATGACAATGCAAGTGCATCACACGCTTTGGTACATTTCTTTAACGCCACTGCATGACTGCAGAATGTAATTGCCCAAATTCATATCATGAAGAACTGTTTGTATAAATTAAAGAAATGCAACACCAGTGACCTGGACGTGCTTGTAGGAAAACACATAGGTTTAAAAAGGCAAAAAATTTCTGGCTGAGGGCAGGTAGGAAAAAAGAGAACCAAAACTTGAAAACATTGAGTGGACATTTTCAGGGTTGACAGCATGATCTCTGGAGAAAGATAATACACACTTGTCTCTTGTTCAAAAGCCATTTTGCACATAAGCAAGTTTACCTTCATTTTTCAAGAGAATGTCTATGCTATTCTGTCTAACCTGGGTTGATTTTAACCCCTTAATAGTTTCTGATTTAACCTAAAACCATGGGTCTTTAGTTGCTGGTTGTTTCAATACAACTCGTTTCAAAATACAAACTGTTGATTCAGTCGAGTTGTAAATAGTTTCACAAACTTGGCTTAAAGAACAAAGACTATTCACCCAAAATGTATTTCTTGTTCACACACACCATCTTAAAGCGATCAAAATTTTTGCTGTACACTTTTGAAGCTTGAGTTGAATCAAAATGACTTTGTACTGAAACGACTGGTTTCTGTGTCTTTACATCTTCTGTTGACAGTCACAACCAGTTGAAGGAATTTTAAGGGTTATAGGATGGGTGGTTTGATTTGTAGGTTGTTGGATTTTGTGCAGTAGAGCCTTGTGAAAAACTTCCTCACCTCCTCTGCTGACAGAAAATGAATAGGCAGCAGTTTGCCTTCAAAGTCAACCAGTGGCAAATATGTCACATGAAAATTGTCCACACTGTCTACATTGGCTCCTGCACCTAGCTCATTTGAATTGTCAGTTTCCATAGCAACTAAAGCAGAAAAATGTCCTCTTGTGTAGCCCAAAACTAATGGATTCTTCCAGCAGAAAGTCTGCTCCCACAAAACAGGAAGATATACTCCTGAAACAAAAAGTGGTTTGGGTAAGTGGAAGAAAAGAACTGATGACTTTCACAGGTGCAACCCTCTTACATAGCCAGCTTTAACAAGAATACTGGAAAGTTAAACTCATATCATGTACATGGCAGGCAAGTCAAAGTGAATAAAAAAAGTAACTTTGCAACTTGTATTGTAATGATTGGGAAATTTCTTTAATACCATTAAAGCATAATTATAAAGACAGACTTCAATGAATAAATGACTAAAAAGTAAAATTAAACATTCACGAGTTAACACAAATTACTGGTAAAACCACTAGTTTACATTGTGTCTCACAAATACTTACTAGAGGGCTATACAAATTATGCATTTTAATACAGCTACAATCATTGAGTCTCTGGGACAGTAATGCAGTATTAATAACTTTAAGTAATTTCTGGATTCCCTTATAAGACAGTAGATCCTTTTCAAAATTTTCTTGCAGTTCTCCCTTCCCTCACCCTATACAAAATTGAAACTTGAAAAAATTCTGGATACACGTGTCCACCATTGTTTGTGGGGTGAGGGGAGGGGTTGGACGTGTGTGAATTGGGAAACGCCCCAGAAATGCAAAACTGTCTTAAGACTTTTGCCCATGATAAATTGTAGTGAGGTCTAATTTGCAGCAACAGCATTGGCACAAGAATTAAATCAATTTAAATTCTTGCCATATATGTATATGTTGTGGTTCTTATTGTTGGTTCAAACTTTGTTTTCCTTAAAAACTCCTTACTAATTATGCATTACCATACCCCAAAACAAAGGAAAAAAAAACTTTGAATAAAGGATAACACTGACAGCTAATACATGTCTTACACATGCTCTACCTTGGAATCTTGCAAGACCAAGGACTTCTCCCCTGAAACTCTTGACATACTTGACACCATATATGATGATAGGCCTGCGAAGAATGTGTGCCAGGGCAAACACATGTGTCTGTTCTAGTGACGTCCCTGGCTGACCAGCTAGGCTGAGAATGGAAGCCCAATCTTGTTCCCACTGATCTTCATCAAGGGAATATTGAAGTGTTTCTGCTTCCATGGATTCCCATTCTTTGTACCGATTAAAAAACCTGACAAGATCACAAGAATGGAATGTCACTCTAACTCTAACAACATGAGATGCAGTGAAACCAAACCATTTTATGTGCCTGGTCACAGCAGTCCATATTGTACAGTTTTATTATTACAGAACTGTTAAACTTTGGAACAATTTGGAATCTTTTCTTAAGTTAAGCCCATCTGTTGAAATTTTTAAACGTTCCTTAAGGAGCCAGCTTTTAGATAATTTTGTAAATACTTCTTAGTTAAGTTCAAAACATTGCAATTAGTAATTAGCTAACATTGTAATTAGTATTAGATTAAGTGTTGTAATTAGTTATTATAAATAATGTAATGTAATCATTGTTCCTGAAAAGCCCCTTTAACAATAAAGTATGTATGTATGTATGTAAAACAAACATACACAACAGAATTGTCAACTTATTCTTAGATGGAATTGATTTTCATTGTTTTTTTGTCATATTTTTATGGAATGCTAACAGTTGGAAACAAATTCTAAAGATAAAATTAACTTACACTAAAATACAATCAATTTGTGACAGTTAAATGTCACTTTACATAATACTGTCAGAGCAACAGAGTGTGCCATCACTGGCGCATCAATATCTGTAATTCACTGACATATTATGCTTGCATCATAACCTAAAATATCACATTCTTCTGGGTCGCTGCATTTAAGCAGTGACTTCAAGCCCTAAAGAACTTAAGTGTTTACTAAATAAAAGCTCTGCTGTGTTCAAGGTTTCAATTGAAAGTGAATGTATAAGCATTTTAATCTTATACTATCATTCACCTGATCCTCCTATAATAAGAAAGTTTGAATATTGAATTAATTAATTGCACTGGAATCATTCTATGAATAACAATGGTCCACCTTAATAAGTTTCATAAAAAATATTATGAGAAGAACTTAAAGTCAATTTTAATAGCTAGTTGAAGGCACACAGTTTTACCTTGAACCTCCTTCAGTTAAGCTATCATATAGAGCCCGTCTCAACGTGTTATCCCTGTCAAACACACCATATGAGGCTTGAAGAATTGAGTCTAAAAGACAATCACCAGCTGATCGATTCCAAAGGGGATAAATCCTACTTCCTAACTGTTCTGTAATTTCATCACTCCAGTTTATAATGGGAGACTCAATTTCTAAAACTGAAAAAAAAATGCATACAGTTAGTGACTTACATCTAATTCTACAAGGTTTGTACTCTTTTGACTTTCTCCATGAAATTTTCAAGTTTTCCATGATCCTACATTAAGCCTTCACTTTTCAAAACATTCCTTATTTTAGTGTATTTTTTGACACTTAGTGTAACAAATGCAAATTCTCGTGTCCACTAAAATGCATGCTGTTCAAGCTTTTATATTTACTGGTTTCTATCTTACACTGGCCTTGCTTTGACATCTGCAATAACTAATTTACCAAACATGACTTTAATTTTCCATGGTTCTCAAAGACAAACAATTAAATTCCATAAAAGTGAAATTCTCAAATTCATGACTTTCCAGGTTTTCTACAACCCACTTGTACACCTTAAATCTGTTCTGAATAAGCTCGGTCAATAAAGGATTTAATACATGGCCAAAAGCAGAAATTTTTCTTGCAGGACCAATGTGGAAAATCCCAAGCACGCAAAATGGGCTTATCTTTCCTGCTTAACTAGAAAATCATAACACAGAAAGAATGCACTTTATCTTGCTTATTCATGGATTCAGCCAAAAAATAATTTCTCTCATCAATATATCTCAACCATTCTTACCTCTCTGGACATCTCTGTCAAGAATGTCGTCAAACACTTGTCTTTGTACTCTTGATGGGAAGTCTTGGATTTCTTAAATTTTGTCAAAAAACATTTCAGTGCATTTGTAATAAATTAATAGACAATCACATCTACATAGACTGTAAAGAACGAACAGAAGCTGTATACCAATAAATAAAGGGATAATTCAGAGGGTAGAATCAGTAATTAACACTGCATAAAGTGCACACTTTAGAGAGCATTTGTCTGATCATATTCTTGAGTAAGAATACGCTAAAATTTGTGCCAAATTTTTGGGACCATCTATGCTACATTCATCTTAAATACCAATGTCCACCAGATTTTTACTGGATTTTACTGCAAAAAAAGCCAAAACAGGTGATTTTTAGAGTTGATTGCATGTATTCTTATTCCACCGTATAGTCAATCAAATGTGCCCTAGATAAGATTTAAGAATGCATTAGTCTATATACTGTTAAATTACTGTGAAACTCAGAAAACCATAAACACCAGGTCCTGGTTCCTCGAAAGATGGTTAAGTTTAACCCAGGATTAAGCCAAATTTTAAGCAAGGTTTTCTTCTCTAAGAATATGTCACTAGAGCTTACAAAGTACTGCCTTGCCTTTACCTCGAGACTCAACGATGATAACATAGAATATTACTCTAAGTGATGCGTAGGAAGGTAAATACCAAAATGTAACAAAATTTTTAATCCTGGATTAGCATCAATCGGCCTTTCAGGAACTGGGGCCAGAAATATTTCTGGATTATGTGATTGTGTTGCTGGGAAAAATACAATCAGGCATGAGAAACTTAAACCATAAGCAACAATGATAATTAGTTTGTGGTTTGAGGCTTCCTTTGTTATGACTGGGCACAGCACAATAAACATTTGTGAAATATTTTAGATGTTTATGGTTTCCTGAGTTTGGATCCACCTGCACAAGTAAAAAAGCTGTTTATTTAAGTGACCTTACTGTCGTCACCAACACTTAACAAATGCGGATGGTTTCTCACGATTTTACAAATTTTGTCCCAGATGGGACAATCTACAAAACTCGTCCCAGATAAAAACTGGACAAAAGCGAGTAAATAAACGAAAAAGTGTTTTTCTTGTCAATCATTTGTTGTAAATCCATTATTCTTTCCACTAATCAATGACAGATGCGACAGCCTATTAAGAGTAAACAGTTTCCAATGCGGAAACATTCTTTTGGTTTAGATGTTTCAAAGACAATACCAAATTTGTCTGCTATATTGGATGGGTCCTTTAATGGTAATTGCCTGGTTCCAAAATAGTCCAATATTGTTCCCCAATATGTTCCCACCCCTACACCCAATTCTCCCTTGCATAGGATGCATGGATATTTGATAGAACCCCAAAGTTGATTTTTTAGCGTGTAAATAAAGCAATTACCATTTTTATATACTTATACTGTTCCTACTACTTGCAAAATGTTTCAGCAAGCATAATAGGAAAGCAATTATAATAATATTATTCTCTTATTGTGACAACTTTATTCTTACCTGCTGCTAAAGCAAAAGTGACCTGGTCTGTGAAAAAGAAACAACGCCAGTCTCCTTTGCGTTGCCTCATGGTATGCCTTATTTGTTTTCTAATGTCTCCTGCTAGCTCAGGGCATGCGATGCAGGGCACCCGTCTTAAATGATGTCCCTTCACTTCCGGAGTCAGTAACACAGTAATCAACTCATCTCTCTTAAATTTAAAAGCCAAGTGAACTAGCGTATGTCCTACTTCAAATACTCCTGGACGGTTCAACACCAAACAGTCTTCTCTTGTCAACTGCCTGGACAAATCACCCCCTGAACTTAAATAAGTCTCCACGGATGAGGTATCACCTTCAACGACACCTATACAAGCTGTTAGCCACAACCAATCAGAATCTTGGAGGCGATTGCGAATTTGCAACATTTCTTCATTGTCATTGACATCATCCGAGGCTGGAATGTCATAAATTATCTTTTCCCCGGTCTTCTGGTTAGTTGGTTGGATTTCTAATGTGGCCTCACTAACTGAAGAAGGGGGAGATCTTCTTTTTGAAGTGGATGGCCTCTTGGAGTGGCAGTTGTTGTCCGATGGTGCATTTTTGCTAGACTCTTCATGTTTTATTTTAGCTGGCTTTAAACACTTGCAAAGAGCACATTTTTGAGTTTTAGGCCAATTTTCGTACGTACACTGAGGGCAAGTCCACTTATGACTCTTCAAAAGCGCTCTGTTCTTGTCATTGTTTATTGTTTTGGAATCGAGCCTCCCGTTGCTACCGACAGATCTTGGCGATTTTGGAGAAACACTTCTTGAGGAGGCGTCCTTATTTCCAATCCCTTGCTCTATATTTTGTCTTCCATTCTTTATTGATTTATTCTTCGGCGCCCGGCACATCGAACAGTGAAGTGAGCGAGGCCAGTTTTCGTACGTACAAGACGAACACGTCCATTTTTCTTCAGTTTGTTCAGCAAATCGTGAAGACTGCGAGTTTCTGTCGCTTGAAGTACAAATAAGAGGATCTGTCGAAATAATTCTGTCACTGCTGGCTGTCTCGTATATATCGTCGCTAATACTTGTCTGTCTACTCTCGTCTTGCGTGATAACTTGCGGAGGTCTCGGAGCGGAGCACAAAGTACATTTTACGGAACAGGGCCAGTTAAAGTATGTGCAATATTTACAGGCCCACTTTAAGCTTTCTTCTTTCTTTGGCATGATGAAAATAATACAATAACGACAATTTTTTCCTTGAACAACTAAGTGAATGTCTTGAAAACTTGTAAATTAACAAATACCGTCTTCTCACAGCGCCACCTTTCAGTACAGAACGCTCAAACTGTTCCAATTTCAGTCGGCTATTTACACGAGCTCTAGAGCCTTCCAAACCGAAAGCTCCAGGTAAACGCCTTTGGCCAAGGCTCTTAAATGTCATGAAGCTGATTTTCATCTTCGTCTGATGCTGCTAAATGTGGGGAACACCGAAAAATACGCGAATATTTCCGTGACTTCAGAAATATCCCAGCTGTCGCCATGTTGTTTTGAAAGTGAAAAGCCTCGTGTAATGACGTCACAAACACATCTGGCATCCTCATGACCAGGTCTCGACCGTTAGACAAAAGACAAATCTTTCTTTCTCGGGGGAGGGATACTTTATATTTCATGATAGGGCATTTTCAGGGTCTCTGATCTATGGAATAACTGACCAATCTTCAACCGGCTAGACCTCCTCTTTGCTCGGATCTGGTAGGATTGAAATTGTGTTGCGTGATGGTATCTCTAGGCAAAAAAGGTTGAGGGCTCAAGGGGCAGATTCATGAGCGTAAAGGAAGACTCACAAAGACTGCAACGGAGTTGCGGATCTGGGAGGTCACATACCCTAAAAACTAAAACTTTAAACTAAAAGCCTTATTTTCGCGAAAGTAATTCGCGAGTTTTTGGAAATAGTTTTTTATTGTTCCTAGCTAAACTTATTATCAAAAGTTGGTCCATTCGTGTTTACGGTTCAGGTTGATGAACATGATATTGTGCAGTATTCTTGTTTTTCCTTGTTCGGTTGTAAAGCCGATTAGCTTATTCAAATTTGCGTGTAATTGATCACGCATCCCTTTTTTGTCTGAAATGGTGAATGAGATCAGGGACGGCAGAGCGTCCTTCCGAGAGGAGAAACTGCCTAAGACTTAAGTTGGAGAGCTGGAGAGCTCGAGACTCTCCTTTCAGCAGTTTTATACTTTTTCGCCAAAGACGGTGGGACCCCTTGGGGTCCCACAACGAGTGGACCAGCCCAGCTGGAGGTTTTTGATATAGCCTGCCCTGCGAGCAAGTTCTCCATACGGGGTATATTGTGGACGTCATGCGCGAGCTTGAGAGTAGCCTTTATGGGCGGCCATTAACCTGATTAACACCAAAACATGAATACGATCATGTCAAATAGCACAGACAAAGCGAAAATGGTCTAGTGATAAATTACGAAATGGTTCAAATAATAAAGAAATGATCATTCTTAAAATAAAATATTCTGGTTGTTTTTTTGTGAAATGGTTCACCTCAACTACAAACGATTTGGTCAGATGAGAAACTGTTCAAGACGGTACCGCCAAACAAGAATCGGTTTGTTTAAATTATCACCCATCAATATAATAATGGCCGCCCATAGTGTTCGCCTTGAAGAGAGTCTGTCAAAAGAAAAGAAGTAAGTGCGACCGGGACCAACTCTACAAATCCGTTTTAGGGAGGAGCCTGTTTTATAAAAGGGTCCTTTAACAAGAGATTGATGACTGTGGGATAAAAAAGTCTCGCCGGAAAATGGAAAGGAAAATTGCTTTTATATTAAGCACGTCCTCCACCATCAAAATTGATCTGTATTGTATTGTGTTTGTACACAACGCTACACAAATGTCCATGAATAAAGCGTGTGTTACAGAGGTTCTAAACTTCAGGTAGTAATAGGCACTCTCTTATTATGAATCACTGAGGTTAAGGGTCCATTCCACCGAGTTTATGGGCGCGATCCATTCAACCAAAATTCCGACAGGTCCGACCGGGAAAAGTGGTTCACCTAAAACGGTGAACCAGTTTTTTCGAAACTTTTCCGGTTGGACCGAACCGAAATTTCCGGAAAATCGAGCCCTACATCATTTAGCCATACTCTATACATGGCAGGGCATTAGCTCAGGTGGTATACCGCTGGACTTAAGAGCTGGAGATTTCAGGAGTCTCAGGTTGGGACGGCGACGACGGCAAAAACGTCGCTTGAAAAGAGTATTCACTTTCTTTCAATCTTCATCGTGATTATTCCATACCCAAGTTCAGGGAAAGAGAAAGAACATTTCGCAGTCGCTTGCTTACGTCAGTCCTCCACAAAACGTGATAAAGGTAAGTACCTCATGTCAAGCCATCATACAGTTGTCCAAATATTTTGCCTGCATCCCTGCTTGAGATGCTTTGGTTACTTGAGGTGCTATGCTTCCCTAAGGTGCTTCACAGGCGGCCCAAACTCACGTTACGAGGGAAGGGTGTAATGTAATGTAATGAAGGGTGTAATGAAACGAAGTGACAGTGGTTACGCAATAAGGCAAAAAAAACAAAACAGTAAACGACAATCAAACACCAAAATGTAGTGGAATACATTGCAGGTAAGTCTTTTTTATTCATTTCATTTAAGGAAAAGTAAGGTTTAGCGCTATTTAGCGTTCGCAGATCTCAGTAATATATTTCTCATACAAAGCCTCTTACATTTTCAACGGTCGCCTGTAACGCGACACCGGCGCGTCACCAATGGTATGTAAATTACCATAGGCGTACGGGCCAGGGGTGCGAGGGGGGGCTGCAGCCCCCCTATATTTTGGGCAACTCAGATTTTTTGGGCAGCGAGAGAAAATTTGGGCAAAAACCAGTTGTAAAAGACGTTTCCATGTTTTTTAAATCATTATTTTGAAGAGATAAATATTTTCTATTTTAACCTGAAGTTGGCGTAATAATCCAGTACTGTTACATTCACACGAGACAGTGGTTCCCTACCACGTAATGAGTTTCTGCTTACTTGAAGTGCTTTGCTTCCTTGAGATGCTTTGCTCACTTGAGGTGCTTTGCTCACTTGAGATGCTTTGCTTACTTGAGGTGCTTTGCTCACTTGGGGTGCTTTGCTCAGTTGAGGTGCTTTGCTTCCTTGAGGTGCTTTGCTTACTTGAGGTGCTTTGCTTACTTGAGATGCTTTGCTTACTTGAGATGCTTTGCTTACTTGAGGTGCTTTGCTTACTTGAGATGCTTTGCTCACTTGAGATACTTTGCTTACTTGAGGTGCTTTGCTCACTTGAGGTGCTAGTGCTCACTTGAGATGCTTTGCTTACTTGAGGTGCTTTGCTTCCTTGAGGTGCTTTGCTTCCTTGAGGTGCTTTGCTTACTCGAGGTGCTTTGCTTACTTGAGGTGCTTTGCTTCCTTGAAGTGCTTTCGAGCCAGGGGAGTTTTTGATCGAGAAATCGGTGATGTGGTGATGAAGATTTGCGCCAACATCATAAAGATACCAATTATGGTAGTTACATCCAACCAGTCTATCCCGTATATTCCATTCTTCCCAGACGACGTATTATCCAGTGAGCCCATTTATGTTGCATATTATTTCTATGGAGCAGGGCACTACGATGCTACTTGACCCAACGTATGATAAGTTACACCTACACTTCTTTAAGTTGCAGAAATTTTCAAGGGGAATTACCCGAGAAGTCGTGTTTATTTAGTTTACTTCCGAAACTTTGGGGGAAATGGGAAAAAATTGTTTCAAAAAAGCCCCTGTAGCGACTAGTTTTTCTAACAATTTTGAAGACTTGTAGTTATCTAAAGTCAGGCAGAGATTTGGAGAAATCACTATGGGTAGATCATGCCCTTGGAACGGATACTCAGTTCTCGAAATAAGCAGCTCACGGTAAATTCAGTTCATCTCTTGAAAGGGTTAAGATGTTGTAGTTCAAGGCGATAGGCGAGTTGAGAAGACCGTTTTAATAATGCAATTCTTGAAACCTATCTAAAGCAAGCCAACAAATCTATACGTATACAGTATGACCCTTGACCCATGCACACTTGGACAAGTTCATAATTTTCGAGGGCAATCTTTTGCTTCTTCATAATATTAACGGATGTGGATTTTTTTCGAACTAAGTTGCAAGAAATTTTAGCGGATGATATAATTGGTTCGCAATAATTAATAAAATATTTCTACTTTTAAATTATTACTTATAGACGCTGACGAAAAGCCACCTGCAAATGTCAGTCCTCCAAAAAAGGGGGCTTACTACTGTGGGCAAAGGAGTAAGACAAGGGAAAAACTATTTTGTACTTCTGGAGGTGATGCAAAGGAGACACGTTGCCCATGTGCTATCGGTAACAGATGTTGTACTTTTTGTAAATGCTTTAACTGTGGGAATCGACCACCTGGAAACAACGATATTGACAACCCAATCTTCTTGTCGCTGTGGAGCAAACAATAAAAACGGTGGTGAAGAAGTGAAAAGTTTCTCTGACACCATAGGTAAAAGACGAACAAAGTGCAAATGTTATAAAGAAATGCGGCCATGAACCAACAAATGCGGTTGTTATGGGTGCAGCAATGATTATGGAAGAAGGGAAGCCAGCAATGTTTCGTCACCGCAAAAAAGCTGAAACATTAAATGCACCTCAAGCCCATCGAGTTTAAAAAGAAAGTGAACTGATAAATTTCTTTCAGATAACGACTTTGAAATTAAGCAAGGGTCTTGGACAACGGAGGAGATGTGCTTATTGGAAGCAGTTATCCTTCGCAGTTATCCTTCTTCCTTCGTGCGACCCAAAACTTGTCGTCTGTTACTAAAAAGGAGGAGAAATGACTGAGTCACATGACCTTTTATTGCATTTTTCTTAGGCGAAAAAAAGGTATTTGTAAGGCTCCTGCTGTAAAGAACCTACCATGAATGACCGACTGCGATTGAAGTGTAGTTTCTGAAATCAAGTTAGGTGATCTTTCTATTCAATTTTATCTACTTCGTAATTTAAAGGGTCGTGAAAACTGAAAGGACATTATTGCCATTTAAAACAAAACTACATTTCTTGGAGGGCGGTCAAAGAACAAAGAGATTAAAGAACGGACCTTGTCGTAGCATACTTGAAATGGATGTAGACACGGTTAACGATCAAAAGATAATTCAAAAGATTTATGTTTCAAAACTTCCAAAATCGAGTTCTTTATACATTCGACGCTATTTCAATACGATGTTGAATTTAAAATTACACATTTGAAGCAAAATCCGGCTTTTTGAAACAGGAACATCGAAAGGCGGGGACTTTTGTGCTTGCCTATGAAGTCAAGTGACTGTTGGCCCCGGTAAAACGAGGGATTTCAGTCTTTAAACTGACTGCCATTTCTCACAAAGGCTATGCGCGTGGAACTGGTCGGCCGTACCATTGCTGGACAAGTCAGTTGGCAAATGAAATCGGCTTTTTCAAAGGGTTTTTGCGGAAGAAGTACTGTCAGGTTGATCATTGATTTTAAGTGAAATTCTTCATACGACAGGAACGGTCTGGCCGGTCAGTTCTGACAGTGGTGAAAAGAGCCCTTAGTTATGTTAGTAGTTAATTAATGTTAGCGAGGACTTTGTTGACTCATAGATACAAATTAACTTCGAAACAGGCCCACTAGTTTCAGTGGTTCGTTTCGATCAGCCTAGCAATTTTTTGTATACGGCTTTTTCGAGAAAGGTTGTCGGAAAAAGTGCACGCGACAATCCCGAAAGGTATTGTGGGTGGGTTTTCATTCACTGTTTTTCAAAGAAGTTTGAAAGAATGACACGAGAGGCCATGGACGTATGTTGGCGAGTGCTAAAAGAAAGCTACAAAAGTAGGTTCGACAGCTACTTTGTCAGGAACAGTGTATTGATCATATCCCATATTACCTTTCGGGATTGTCGCGTGCACATTTTTTCCGACAACCTCTCTCGAAATAGCTGGATATAGGGGTTCTCTAGCGCTATGATCCCATTTAATTCGGATTTCATCTTGTTTTAGTTTATTATTCTCGCCAAAAGTACATCCAGTACATTGATTACGAATGCAGTCTTTTCTGTGAAAGATGAATGGTAAGGGAGCCTGTAAGGAGCCTATAATGATTCTTTAAAGGTCTACCTTTATACAAAATTAATTATTTAACTATTTAATAATACAATCATAGGATAATAAAAATACAGTCATAGGATGGACAATCTTGCTAAGTGTACACAAATATTTTGATCACAATTTATTAAACATTTCATTCAAAATAAATCATAGTTAATCAAAAACTCTTGTTTCATGCGCGTTTGGTAAATATCCAATCGCTACCTCGGGATGACCACAGGGGAATACGGACAGTATTTAATAATTTAATAAGAAAGAGCGTTTCATCTCAAATCTGACTGATATCTTTTCCTGTCACATGAGTTCAAAATCTTGTGAGTGTCACGTTCAGACTGCAAATTTTTCTGTTCCTTCATCCGCCCAGAGCTTTAGCTTGTACACCCTTATCAAAAATAACTTTTTTATAACAGTGTTTAAAGAAGAGGCTCTCAGGCCCGTAGGCAGGATTTTTACGGAGAGATGCGATCCAACGAGTCCGAGGGGGAGGGGGGATTAGGTGTTCTAAGGCTGCATTTCAAGAGGAAAAACTGTTTATTTCTCAAACTTTTAATCTTCAAAAGTATTTTTCTTTTCAAATAAAGTTCTTTACTTTACAATCTTTTAGAGTGGCAAATGCGGAATGGAACTATTTAAAAGAAATAAAAGTAGAAAGAAAATTGTAAATCCGCATTATTCCGTAGGTATGATGCATGATCTTTGCATCATGATCTTTCAATAGTGTGCCAAGCTCAAACTCGAGTCATTTTATAAGTAGGTAGCCTGATTCTCAGACGTCCGAGGTCGTTCGCGGTCCCTTTCGCTTCCTTCCCTCTCCATAAACAAACGTTTTGAGCGCTTTGAACTGTTCGGGGAACAGTGCTTCCACGCCAAAAACTTGGCAACCGTTTTGCACGGCTGAATCGAAACCTTCCACATCTTCCGCCATTTTGATTTGACTCGATGTGTGGGAAATTACATTCCATACATTCCACACTTCTCGAAATATGGTACACGCGCTCTGATTGGTGAAAATTGACAATGACTCTAACGTCTAGAACACGACTTCGCACAGAGTATATCAGACGGGAGAGGGAGGGAAGCGAAAGGGACCGCGAACGACCTCGGACGTCTGAGAATCAGGCTAATAAGTAGGTAGAGCATGATCGAGCGGGTAAGCGTAGTTTTGAATAGTCTCAGGTTGGTTTCCCACGGCCAGGCCAAAACTCAGGGTCTTAAAATAACTGAGAAAGAATGTACAGCCTTTCTAGACACGGCTGGACTTTCGTGTGGCTAGGATAAGCCACACAAAAATGGTGGTCCCGTCTCCACTGGTAGAGCGGAAACCTTCATTCTTTTCCAACGAGACAAAATGTCTGTAAACCAACTCCACAAACTCCAGCCAACACGCAATCGTCCCTGTAAAAAAAAAAAAACAAGTTAGGAAAAGTATGAGTGAGTGTGCCACCATATTGTAATGAAGTATAAACCTCTCAGCTTTGGCCTTGACTCTAAATATGTGATTAACTGCTGACACAATTTTAGGCAGATACAACTACCCGAGGAACTTGTATTTGTTTTTCTTTTTACTGGATAAAAGCAGAGTATTAACAAGTTAGCATTGTCTTTAATTCAATCACAAGGGTTCTAGTAACTGGTCTGTCACAAGCGAACACGTGTAAAACGTCTTGAGGACGGTCGCTTAAAAGAGCTTTTAGCAGAAAGCTTGGCATATGTTGGTGACTGTTTATTACCAATAGCATTGTAATATAATATTAAATAGTTTTTTTGTATTACTGATCACATACAAAGTTCGGGTATGTACAATTCATGGAACTATTAGCACTTTTTTTAACTGCTACCTTAAATTTAATCAAGAAATGAAATGCCAAAAGTCAATTTGTGCCACGTGACTAAGTTTTCCCCTTTTTTGTCGTTTACCGTTTATTATATCTCTACATGAATAAGTAGTTTCAGGTGAGAGTTTCATCCACAGAATAAGTTTGCACAGTTTTATGTTCTGTCGAAGCCGGAGTGTATTATCAGGTTTAAAACCTCGAGGCGAAGCCGAGTTTTTAAACCTGATAATACACGACTTCGAGGTTTTTTGAACGGCTTCAAAATCTCTGATATAAACCAACTCATTCTTGCACTGAAATTTAGATTTGAGGTTATTTTGGTCTAAAAAATTGGACGTAAAGTTTAGCCATGTCTTTATCAGACACAAAGACACTCAATAAACATTAATTTCTTTTGTTTTTTCTTTTCTCATTTCGTAACTCTAGAAATTGTCAACTTGAATCAGACGATTGCCGTTTGCCATAAATGTTATTAGAGAGATTAGAGACCTTTAGCATCAGGTTTTTCATGGAAAACCGCAAACCGCAAAATGTCACGTGATCACGGTCTTGCGCTTGCGTCTCCGGTTTGCAGTTCACGTTTGAACGGCAGGAAGGTCTTCCAGCGGTAAGTGACTTACGGCAAGGTTTTTTGCCACTAAAAATTGTACAGCCTCGCGTTTAAAGGCCCGAAATAGCTTTTTATCTCTGTCTGCTATGTGTTTATTGGATGTTTGAACTCGAGTCAATGAATTATTCCTGCTTTTTGGGCGATAAATTGATGCATTTCGACTTGATGAAAAACAACATGGCGGCACTAAACAACAAATGAACACCTTGCTAAAATTTGAAATCCCGGCAACGTGAAACTTCAATAGCCTGAAATTCATCCGATTGCTTCGAGTCGTTTTCTCCTCTCAATTATTACTGAGGGAGTAATAACGACGACTCGAAGTAATCGGATGAAATTCAGGCTAAAACTTCAAACGCGTAATGGCAAACTGCAGTTTGCGGTTTCCCATGAAAAACCTGATGCTAAAGGTCTCTATTAAGCATCGCGTTTACGGCAAACGGCAAACCGGTGAGATTCAAGTTGAGAAATTTTAAAAATGAGAAATGAGGAGATGAAAACAGCTTAAAACAATTCTTATGCATAGAATTGGAGTGAATTTACCGATTTTCGTGTACTTATAATCAACAGTAAACGACAAGTAAAAGGGGAAACTTGGTCACGTGGTACTGACAAATTTACGTTTGCTGTTTGCCGTAAACGCGATGCTTAATCTCTCTAGTCTCTCTAATCTTAATCTCCCCTAGTGTTTCTAAGGAATAAACGGACAGATATGGAGGAGACCGGTGAGATTCAGCCAAAAATCGTTTTGAAAATTTGGACAAAGTGCAAGGACAAATCAAACATTATCACTGAAAACAGAGATCTAGCCTACTTCCACGCGAATCCGATTATTACTGTTTTACGTGAATGGGCCTTCTGTCCACACGAAACCAGTGAATCCGGACACCGAAACCGTATTGATTTGAGATCGTTCTCTAGAGCGGTTTAACTGAACGCCCCGTCCACACAAACCGGATAAAAAATATGCCGTTTCAAAAATGTCCGTATTCATGTGGACATGGCCTTAGAATTCCCTATGCGGCATACTTCTACCACGTCATCAACTTTTCCCTTTACCTGTCGTTTACTGTTCATTCTGTCCATTTTATTGAAAGAAAAGCACAAGGTTTCATGTCAGTTTTATCCATAAGAATTGTTTTTGACAGTATTTATCAGTTCAATTCCTAACTTGAGTAATTTTCAATTTGGGTCGGATTTTCTCCGTTGGCCCTAAACGTGATTCTAAGTCGTCTGAATCTCTGGAATACCTCTCGCCCCAGACTTCCAAGTCCTGGACATCGGCAATGTCCACCATCTCCGCAGTGAGTTGACGGAAGGCAAATACTGGGGGCGAAACCTGTTATTGAACATAAAAAAGACAAACGACACGACATGAACAAATGTTGAGAAAAACTAACGACAATCAACGCATGACTCTAGGAGAACGGTTTTCGATTATAGTATATCACCCTAAATATATGATAACTGAATAATCTTTTGACACGGCAACGCGAATCATACAAAGAGAAGAAAGTATTCGCTCTAAAAGAATAACTTACACGCCATATGCTGAGGCTTAGTCTTATCCTTGCTTTTAATCTTTTTATCCCTTATTTTTGTATATGGTAAAAGTGTGACAGAGAATAGAAAACAAAGGAAAATAACATTTTGCACCAAGGATAAAATTCAACCACAATACATAGCTGTGTTTCGTGGTGGTTTACATGTTTTTAATAAAATGAGGCGCGATGTGGGCTTATTAAGGCGCAACGTGCGATCGCTAACATTAGGGAGCTTAACCAGCGACGACGGCGACGGCAACGAGAACGGTACAAAAGCAATAGGTTTAGACTGGCAAAACAACAATTTTGCACGTGCATCACGCTCTTTTGTACATTTCTCTGCCGTCACTGCACGATTACGATGTGAAACTTCCTAATTTCACGTTTATGGAGGACGTGAACACTCAAGACAATGACTTTCTTTTTCTTTTTGTGAACTAAGTCACAGTCCTTTAGAATTCAATTCCTGAAAAAAAAAAAAAAATCGCCAACATTTCACAAATTAAAAGAGCTGGAATAAGAAAGATGAAGTTTGAAACAGCACAAATTCACTTTTTGGGTGACGTTTTCGCTGCCGTTGCCGTCGTCGTTGCTTAAGCTCCCCATTTCCCTGTTGATGTCATGTCTGCAGCTCCTTTCACTTGACTAAAAAGTTCTCCCTGCCCTGAGGTCTTGGGTTCTTGAGCGAGGGTTGCAGTAACCGGCAAAAAGCCTGACCTCTAAAAGTGTGTATGTCGTGGTCTCTTTCGCTAAGCACTAAGCCCATAACGTCTGAGAGGATGGATCACCACACCGGACAACGATCCCTTCGCCTCTTTATGAACAGTGCCTGGGTTTTTGAACGTCCCAAAGAATTTTGTAAACGTAAGGGTTGTCAACCCGGTCTACGGTTTATCGTCCTTATCCGAAAAGTCTAACCGTCTAACCTTTTGCAGTCGATGGCATTACGTTTGATTCTTGAAGGCAGCACTTTCCCCTCAACTATGGTCTACCCCGAGCGTTGGTCCTTGAGTGTTGGATTTCAACCCACAAGTCTCCCCTTAATACCACTGGCAGTTGCTTTGGCAAAGAAAAATGCCACAAAATTGCTCGAGAACGATAACTCGTGATAAAAAAAAATCGGTAAATACCTGATCTTCTTTAGCCAACTCCCACAAAGCAAGCCTTTGGTCGACAGAAGACGAGATTGCTAATCCACTTCTCAAAGCCTTTACTCCTGTAAGATAAACACATGATTTTTTGATACCACTACACTTGGTATAAATGCGTTTTCCAGCGTTTAAGAGTGGAGGCGAACAAGAAACGCTTCAATCCTCCTTGGGATACTTTAAACTGTTTGACAGTTTTACCTTTCGCTTCTACTCAGTTGCCATTTGAGTACTGATGTGTTCTACATGCGACAGAAAAATGGGAAATTAATTTAATTTATGGGCATGTGGGAAGGAAAAACTGGTAGAATTCAATCAATCAATCAAACCAAGAAATTTACGATAATCAAAAAAGTAATTGTTATTTTCACTGTCTACATTGTGATACCTTTCCGGCATCCTGCTATTTCACTAACTCGTCTCAAACATTACTTAAAACATTTTTCTTTTTTAAACGGCAAATTTTGAATTCGCCCCAAGTAAGGGAATTCGGGAAATTTTTGCTTAAGAAATCCGGACTCCTGGGCTTTGGAATCCAGAATACAGTTCAAAGAATCCGGAATCTCACTAACGATTAGAATCCAGAATCGAAATTCCCGTTAACAAAACTCCGGTATCTGGAAACCGAAATCCACGACGTAGAATCCGGAATCCAAGACTGTCTTGGATTCCCTTATATGGAGCGAGTTGAATTCACTTGTCGAAGCAATTTTGACATGTAAATGGATCGACCCAGATACCCTAGGAAATATAACGCGCTAACGTTGACTCACGTGGCGTACACGTGTTGTTACCTGTTACTGATGACGTATGAGCTGAAGGCTCAGTTATCTCGCGTATCACGTGAACCTTGGTGACGTCATCGCTGTCTAGTTTCAAAGTGAATTGTGCCGCATACAGTGCGCTGTCATCTCCACCACTGACCAGCAAATATTCTCCTAGAAATAAAACAAAAGAACGGAATGAATGAGGCATCCACTTTCCGTTCAATAGTCATACTCAAACTTCCAGCACGGTGGAAAGTTCTGGAAGATAATTGGATGACTAGTGTGCGTTAATGACAAACGATTTTCTCGCGTTGAACATTTGGTGCTCTTTACACATTAATTTTATCTAAATTTAATATCTTTTTCTTGAAAACTTATTTCCAGATTTTTCTCAGTCGGACCTGCCGTTAGCGACCACCCAAAATGCGAAGGTTTAGTGGTCGCTTAATGGGAATGGTCGGTTACTAGAGTTGAACCACAGGAGGTTTCTTCCAAGACGAGAATCCGACAAAAAACCGTCACTTCCAAAAGAGATTGCGGTCGTTTACAAGAGGTAACCGTTTTCGAGAGGGTCTAACTATAGGGCTTTGTTTTTGAAAATTATGGTGTTTTTGAGGGATGGTCGCTTATGGCAGGTAGTCGCACATGAAAGTTAGACTCTACTAAAAAAGGTTTACTGCAATTTAACTCACTATTGCTCTTCACAGGTCCTGGTAATTGGTAATTTTTCCCCGTCCATTCATACGGTAGAACCCCCCCCCCTTCCTCTCCCACAACGCTCCCCGTCCCAGCCGGTATCGTGGAGTGGTGACCGTTAGCAGAGGCGGAACTGTATCTATCCTCACAATAACATTAACTTACCATTGATATTTGCAAGCGAGAGTGCATTTACCCCGGACTGGTGACATTTGAACACGTGGATTGGAGGGGGAAGAAATGTCTGTACCAGGGGTAGGCAGGAAAAGTCACTTTGCTCCTTAAACTCTGATTCAAGTGTTGGATTATCCTGCAGTTGTGTTGAGCAGGGTTGATTTCGCGGTGCCACGAATGCAACATTAACAACAGCATTTTCCTTCGTATCTGTTTCTGAAACTTCGTCTTTAGTCGACGTTTGGATATTAGCAAGGTTCTTGGAGTCTGTCTTTCCGGTTCGCTGTTCTACTTGCCCAGAATTAGCCATCTCAGTTGACGCGTTTACGTCTGCTTCAAAATCGGCCAAATTCTCTTCTCTAAATGCTACTTCACTACATTTACCTGAAGAAAAATTACCGTTTTGTTCGGCATTTTCTGCAGCTTTTAAACTGTCTGTGGTGACGCCTTCCTCGCTGGAAAATGAAGTCACGCTCTCTGAGGTTGTGTGACTTGTGTCACCATTTCCTGATGAAAAACTAGCCTTAAATGTGTTCTTTTCACTTGATTTATTAATAACTTTTCCCCCGTCAACTTCAAGATTTTCCACGTCATACTCAATGCGAGCTTCGCTTTCTGTTACATTCCTAAATTTTTCGACCTGTTCGTTGACTGGAGTACAGCATTCCCTTATATGGCTTAACAGTAAGGTAGTGATATCCCGGCAGGAAATCCTTCCAGCCGTGTCCCCCGCGAACATCATGACCAGCGGCCTTTCACCATTGAGACAATCAATCACGTGGTTGACCGTGAGAACACAGCGTGTGAGGTACTGGGACTGAGCCAGAAGGAAGAACTTTTTTTGCTGTTCGTAAAAGGCGAAAACCCTAAAAGAAAGAAACAGAGAAGAATTTAGTAAAAATATGTCAAGCCGAATTTTTGAAAACGTTATCGCCAAATAGACCTCTTCCGTCAAGCAGTTTTTTCCCGCCCAAAACTGCCTCCAAAGTAGCCAACATAAAAACTAAGAGTGCAGCCATTGCTTTTTCCTCTTCTCCTCCTTTCTTCCTCCGAGATCTTTCTTTCTCCCCTTTTCCTTTCCCTTCGCTGATATGATTTTCGAGCTTTTAGGGCGCAAAAAACCTGCCTTTTGGCCTTTTTTTACTCAAACGGCTGCAAATTTCGTCAAGATTGTTTTCAAAAAATTATGTGATTACCAAAGAATAAGGCAAAAAGGGAAAACTACACACCTGACGAAACCATCGGAGCAAGCCGCCATTACGAAGTACAATGTTTGACAGTTGTCTATCAAATCTTGACTTGACGAATGACTGATAATCTCCGCCGCATTTAATGTTGTCAGAGACATGAATCTTATCTCGGACAAGTTCTCTAAGTCTTTTTTCCTCCGCCTGCGACGATGATTACTGAAGGAGAACGAATATTCTCCCAAGAAAACCATCGGAGATGTTATTGTATCACTATGACAACCCTCGGTGTCAACATCAATGAGTGACAGGTTAAGACGCCAGCATCTAAGTGACGCGCGACCTCCGCCAGAGAAGAGGAGGAGACTGCTGGTCTTGTCATTGCTGGCGCTTGGTTGAAGCCGTGATAGAGGACGTTTTGTTACGCTCAAAGCTTTAACACTTGATATGTGACCATGAGCGGTGAAAAATGGCGAGGTCAAGCCAGAGGAGCGATTAGCTGAAGTGTAAGCTATTGTTAAGAGAAGCAATAACGGAAAAAATCGCCGAAAAACAGACAGCTAAGACGATATATTAAAGTTAACATCACAGAACACAATCACATGTTTTATATTATCAAATAATCCGAATTGAAAAAGCCATCATCTATCCCGAATCATGACTGGGATAAAAGATCAGGAGTTTTAGAACATTTTACCCTTGTAATACTGAAGAGGATACAGATAATTAACTTGATGTTGGCATCTTCGCTAGCTGTAGCCAAGACGTCACAGATTTCTCCTGTAAAAAAAGAAAAAACAAACAAGTTAAGAAAAAATGTAAAGGAATGATTAGAACTTCACTTCTTTTGGAAATATCAATTTCTTGTCAAGTGTGAAGTAAAGACAACGATACATCTTCAGTGGACATAGCATCGGATTCTGGCTAAAAATATGCGGTACCCTTGTGGATTTAAAAAAAGCATCAACATTCCTGCATCTCACCGGCCTTTCAAAATGATTACAGGACTAACAAACTTCACAAACTTAAACATGATGAAAATACCAGAGCTTATTAACAACAGTCCACGCTGTCTATAAGAGGCTCTTGCAACTACAAAAGTTTTGATCATATAAAGCCATGGCAACATACCTTTTCGTGTCACAAAGGAGTCTATATGACGAAGGCACGTGGCTTCCCGTCCATGAAATCCTGGCTAAATGAGAAACATTTGCATCAGTACTGGTGGGTAACACGTAAGTCCTTCACTTTCCGTCGACAACAATACTATCATTTCCAAATTCCACTTTGAATAAGGGTATAAGGGAATTATCCATGGATGTCATATGTTAACTGATGACGCATTGAAAGAACGCTACAAAGAATTACATATAGCCTGTTCTTCGTGCTAGGATCGTGGAGAGCACCAGAACGTGGCGCACGAATGTAAAATCTTTCATGTGCGACTAGGGAGCTCAAGCAGCGACGTTTTTGAGCGACGCACGTCAACTGGAAGTGGGCCTTTTTCTCTTTTAATAAGCCTTGACGCAATTATATTTGTATTGCCAAGTGTCTTAATTCTTATAGAGACGATTTGCTCAAAATCATGGCTCAAGAGTGCAAAAAGTCCACTTCCGGTCGACATGCGTCGCTCAAAAACGTTGCTGTTTAAACACCCTATTTTTTGTCGCGCGCCTTTTCTCCCGACCCGGCTGACTGCCCCTGGGTTTCCAAGGATGTGCCCAACTGCGACGTAAAAATACCTTATTTCACGTCATAGTTTTGTGGAGGACGTGAACACAAGACAACGACTTTTTCCCTTTTCCTGAATTTCGGTACAGTCTTTTAGAATTCAACTCCAGAAAAATTTGCCAACATTTGACGAATTGAACGAGATGGAATAAGGGCGAAGCAGCGCGAATTCACTTTTTTAAGTGACCTTTCGTAGCCGTTGTCGGAACGCAATTCTGCGACACATACTATGAAAAGTAAGAAGGAACCAACAGCAAACATTGCTGAACTCGACTTTTTCTCACAATCTGGGTGAGCAAAACAAAACTGAAAAAGCTTACCTTTAACACTGCCTTCTTCACTTCACTTGGAAAAGCAATTTCATGCGTGTAAATCATCGAGTCTTTGATAAAGGACAACACCGCTCCAGAAATGGAAACGTCCTAAAAAACACTAGAGATCAGTAATTTAAACGAAACTTCGGCGGAGTTTGATAGTTTGCCAACTCCAAAAGTCGAAAGCTATTTGCTGTAACATACGGAAAGGCGAAAAATAACTGCAACTACTTCGCCTGATTAAAGCAAGCCTTCTTTGACGCGCTCGCCCTACACAGGTGTTCTTACGTAGGCAGCACCCGTCTTTTTTTACGCCCTGCAAAAGTACCTAAAAGACGAGTTGGTGCGAGTTGAAAAGCGGGTAATGTCTATAAGTTGCCAAGGACTGCCCTACCAGGAGGCTATCGAACTGGTGAACATTGTCCCTATTGTAGATTTCATCGCGGGGCTATGTAGTAATACTTTCAACACCATTATTAAGGTCCCTGAACACTGTCTGAAAAGGTTAATACAATTTAGTGGACCTTCACGTTATGCTCTAAGGTGCACAGGCGCTTCATCGCACCTAAATGCAATACAGATCGTTTTGGGAATAGTTTTGTTATTAGATCCTGTATTGATAACGTATATACGTACATTTTTAGTTTTTCTTTTATCGTATCTTTTTGTATTTTTATATTTACTGTACTTAGTTTTATATACACATTTTGTCAATTCCATCATTTGTAAATACGCAATTCAACCTTCGGGCTGCAAGGTATTGGTAATTTAACTATCTATCTACAGGTATGTTTTTCTCATGCAAAGTCTACTTAAGTGTGCTCCGACAGTGTTTAATCTAGTTTTAAGGGGCCTCCCTGTGTTCAAGTACGCTAATTACTGCCATCATAGGCGTACGGGCAATTTTTTGTCAGGGGGGGCGGTAAACCATTTGCCCAAAAAATTCTTGCAAGTTGCCCAAATATTTACAAAACAGTCGAACACAAACGAGGGCCATACGATGCAACAACATAGGTCGTACTAGCATATGAAAGTGGCTCGATACAGTTTTTCAGGGTCAATACCCGTGAAGTTTTTTTTGAGCATAGACTACGACACTATAAACAAACATTTGGAAAAATTGCCACCACAGTCGTATTAGATAAAGATGAAAATTTGTTATGATCCGGGTTGCAATAACATCGAAGTTGCCATAGCAACCAAATGATGCCATTACCTATTATACTTGCAGCAACATTTCTCACTGGGAACTGTTCTTCCAAAATCGTTCACGGAAGCATTTTCCTCCAATAGTCGCCTCGATGTTCGTGAAGTTAAAACGGAATCTGTAAGAGCGTTGCGGAGATATTTTGGGATAAAGTTTTTATCGTTAGAAATACGGTAAAAAAGGAAAATCTTGATGTTTGGCCGTTATCTGTGGAAAACCAAGCGCTTTTGACATGTAATTTCACCTCATAGTAGTTTCAATCTTTTTAAAAACGTGGATAAAAAATCATGGAGATAGCTCTGGCCAAAAAAGGATTTGAGTATTTAGTATGAATCATGGCGCTCTTGTTAGCGGTTTTGTAAACATTTCGGTCTACTTTAACAAATTAGGGATAAATCTTTAAACCACTCGATAGATTTTTTTGTTAAAAAAATACGATTCTTCGCGTAATTCAAACTGACAATTAGTCAGCCACTTCTTCACTTTCAGACCCATTGCTGATGCTATCTGCCATACACTGTTCTACGAGGGGAGATGATTCTAGAAAGTTAGGCGGAAGTTTATTCTAATCAATTCACGACTGGAAATAGCCCATTGCAATACAGTGCCCAACAATAAAAAAAACAGCACATGATACCCTTCCCTTATAACCAGAAACTCATTACGTGCTAGGCAACCACTGTCTCGTGTGAATGTAACAGTACTGGATTATTACGCCAACTTCAGGTTAAAATAGAAAATATTTATCTCTTCAAAATAATGATTTAAAAAACACGGAAACGTCTTAAAAAGCTGGCTTTGCCCAAATTTTCTCTCGCTGCCCAAAAAATCTGAGTTGCCCAAAATTTGGGGGGGGGGCTGCAGCCCCCCTCGTCCCCCCGCCCCGTACGCCTATGACTGCCATATATACAATGTAACAATGTTATTTCCTTGGAACCACAATTTACATGCGCTTAAGATAAAATTTGTTGACCTGCAAAACGAGAGTTTTGGTATTTGCCTTGTCCGGACGTCATGTCCGAAAAATTTGGTTTTCGTTGAATATAGTCCGATGACCGATTCTTATTTGCAGCTCAGTGATTGCATGAACACTACTTTAGACTAGACCGTGAGCGGTCGTCCTTCGTTCCTCAGAGCCACGCGCGGAGGCTGCTCGCAGTCTAAGTTTAGACGTGTTCTTGACCCATCACACAATAGGGACAGCGTGTTATTTCATGGTCGTTGAAAATACAGGAGAAGTCTTTATGTCACGATGCCATAGTAGCAAAATTTCTGGATGACAACAAACCGAGAAAGCCACTTTAAAAAGTGGATTGGCACTGTTTCAGACTTCATCAATCTTATTCAATTTCATTTAACATTTAAATTTTGTTGAAATTTTCTAGGGTTGAATCTGAAAGGACCGTAACCAAGTTTAGAAAAAGAAAAAGGAAATTTTTTCGTTGTGTTCACCTACTCTATAAAGCGGGCGCGTGAAATTAGGAAGTTTCATATCGCAGTCGTGCAACGACGGCTAAGAAATGTACAAAAAAAGTGTGATGAACGTGCAAAGTTGTTGTTTTGCTTATTAACACATTTGCTTTTTTTACCGTTCTCATTGCCGTCGCCGTCGCCGTCGCCGTCGCCGTCGCCGTCGCCGTCGTCGTTACTTAAGCTCCCTATTGTTGTGATCCAGAAATTACCATGGTAACGTGACGTCATACTTCTCCTCTCTATTAACCCATTCGCTCCTGGAGATTTTGCCGAAAAACGCGTTTTGAAGCTAGTCGAGTGGTTTTCTGGTCACCGTCGTGCTATAAAGAGCTAAAACTTACCACAAACCGGTTTACAGGTCGTACACTTGGCGGCCTTCTGATCCAGATGCAAAACACCAGCTTGCGAAGTTCGGGCATGCGCAGAAAGCAAAATTTCGATTTCGATTTTGGGTTTAAAAGTGACACAGCAGTCTTGACTTTTACTTTTCGCTTTCTCTCCTCCCTTCTTTTTTCGCTTTTCTTGCCTCATTTTTTTTTCTCTTGCTGGGCATTTAGTAGGCTTCATTTTGGTGGGAAGAGTTTTTAGGAAAGCTTTTAGGATCTTAGGATTAGGTAAAAGGAAAGGTAGGTGGGCAATGGAACAAGAATTTCATGGAGATTTTCAGGTCAATGTCACGTGGTTTTTTGCTTCTTTCTCCGGTGTCCTTGACTGAATTGTGCTCATTCTGGTATGGTTTGAAAGATCTCTTCACTCTACACAAGTTAGCGAAGAAAGTTGTCCTTGACTGTTAAAACTGATGACGTCACAAAGGGTAGAAAGGACCTGGATCCGCACGGGCGGTTACGGGCGGTTCAGGGGCGAATGGGTTAATTGTAATGGTATTTACCGACTCTTTCAGGGCTAGGTCCCAGATTCTGTGAGCCCCACCGCACTTGACTCTCCACAGTATCTCATTACGTTCCACGCTCCACAAAACGAAATAGGCCTGCACAAAGAGACAAAAAAGAAGAAATGAAATACCACGTTTTTATAAAGCAGTTTCTTTGATGCATCGGCTAAAAAAAGACAGTTTTAATTCAGACTTACCGCATGGAAACCCGCTATAAGAAGTTGTCCCTTTGCCGTGAATATCAGTCGTTCCAACCAGTCAAAGCCTTTAAACACCTAACACAGATAAAACAAAATGAAACTGCTCCAGCAACAGAAAACTTACAGACAGGTTTTACACAACATTCAAGTGAACTTTAACAGGTGTTCTCATTCGCGCTAGATTTGCAATGAAAAAGTCACCTTTTTCGAGGAAGCGAAATTTTAAAGCGTATATAACTAATCAGTTTTTTAATATATTTTTGAATGACGCATTAAATCGCCCCATGTAATGGAATCCAGATTCAAGAATCCGGGAAATTTTGGCTTGTGGAATTCCAAATCCGGGAAAATTTTGCTTGTGGAATCCGGAATCCCACTAACGTTTTGAATCCAGAATCCAAGTTCCACTGACAAATACTTGAATCCGGAATCCACGGAGTGGGGTCCAGAATCTTTGATTCCCTTACATTGGGCAACATTAAGCTGCTTACGATAACACGAGGTCATACGTTCAGAAAGACATAAAGAACATAAATTATTGTGTAAGAATTACAAATTGTTCTACCTTTTTAGTGTCAATAACCTCCAGTGTGTTGTTATGCACTCTTAGTTGCCTGTAAACGCCGTCTCTGCCCGATGAGTAGATGGTGCTGTTATGGAGACTAAGATGACTAACGCCTGCTTTACCATGAATAAGAGGAAGAGAATGCGATGGAGCAATTGGCTTAAAAACAAACAAAAGGAAAAATTTAACATCCCATCTATTAGCTGCTGGCCTACATTCTGTTATACTGCCCAGAAAAGTCGAAAGAACTGGTCCATAGTAGTATATGATGCTTTGAATTATCCAAATTCGGAAACCGAAACCGAATTTACATAAGCAAACTAGCTCTTTCTAGCACTAAACACAATTTTTCACTTTCAACATTCCCCGTCCCTCTCCTCCACAATTCAGATAATTCGGTGCACCATATACTACTAGTTGTTAAATACCGGTGATATGAACTTTTTCGGTTTAAATCTGGCTTTTACAAAAACTTAAATAGCACACATTTCACAAACATAAAAGCTTTAGTGCAGCGAAATAAAAGAGTTGGGACATTTTTTAATAACAATAAATTTTTCAGTAAACCTTATCTTGACAAGTACCTTTTCAGAAGAAGTGGAGCATCTAGGATTAAACAGATGAAGGGACCCTTTTCTGTCCCCACATACTAATAACATAGACTCGGCTGTCCAATTTTCATTGTCAGAGCTTCGTTTTGTTGAAGGATTTGGGAAGATTTCAACGGCTGTGGCCCAGCGTTGCTTTGAAGGTGGTAAGATGAACGATCGCAGAGGAGAAACAATGAAGACAGGAACACTGTTAACATGTTTAATATTCCACCAAGTCATTTGTCCTTCTGGCCCACAGGAAAAGAGGTACTGGCGAGAATTCTGACTGCTCCAGAGAAGATTATGAACCTTGCCTGAGTAAGCAGTGAGTTCCATACATGGATGATTGAAATCTGTAGGGAGGGTGCAGGGTTTATTTAATAATAATAATGATGATGACGATGATGATGATAATGATGATGATGATGATGATGATAACAAAAATAATAATAATAATAATACTAATAATAATAATAATAATAATAATAATAATCAACGATCAAAAAATCACTGCAAATTTGAGTCCTGTTTTTTAAGACTTTGAATTCTTTACGATGGTTGGATATACGCCAAGTTCTATTTTGCATTTGTGTGGACCAAGACAAAGTCCAAGTCAATAAAAGGCAAAATGAACGTGGCCAATATCCACCCTTATTGACCAAACAAGCTTGTCAATAAAGAATAAATTATATGGCAAAAAAGAGAACTTTTACTAGTGGGACAGGAGCGGGAAATCCCAAGCAGGCAAGATGTGCCCATCTTGCCCACTTGCATGGCCAATCAGAACACAGGATTCACTTTATAATGCCTACTCATGGATTCAACCATATAACAAAAGAAAAACAAAACACATCCATCCACAAAGTCACATCAAAGTCTCCTCTTTTTCAAACTGTTTCTTTAAAACCTCTCAGTAAGCTATAAATCAATGTCTTGGCTACTTGGTTACTTTTAAATGGTCAAAATTGAAACAAGAAAATGCAGTTTACTCACCTGTATCTTGAAGTTTAATATTTCCCTGTAAATTTCCAAATGCAATGACCTTACGACTGGGACACAAGGCTAGAACACTATATGAGGAATAGTTTGGATCTTTCAATAACAATTTCCACTGATCCTTTGTGGTTATGCTCTCTGTATTTGAACAAGTATGGGAATCATCTCCTTTACCAATCTGATTATCTTTCTTTGACCAGCTATACTTATACAAACACCTGAGCAAAAACAAATGGATATGCATCTTAATAGAATAAACCAGACACTTACAAGAATAGTTTTTTTGTTGAAACCTCTGTGCAGAGAATTCCGTCCATTCAGTCTCTGCTAAAAGCCACCAACCTACAATGGCTACTCCTTTTGTCGCGGCAGATAATGCATACCTTAACTCCCCTTTTAAATTTCGTTGTTTGGGGGTTTTTGTTTCGTCAAAGATCTTAGTGTGGGTGAGATTTATGCAAATTACAACCTAATGCCTTTTACCCAGCTTCAACAAATGGCCCGTTCAAGAAGCTGACAAGCAAATCATATATCCTGTACAAGACTTAACAATCAAAATCATGTCTTGTTGGGTGCACATACCAATTAAGGGCAAATAAGGGAGTCACCAGTGCTCTCCCCACATCAGGAGGACATAACACTGTTACCTACCCTTCATTTGTCATCACTAGCAAGTTGGATTGGTCAAGTAAACTGACATATCGTGGGAAATCCTTTTTATTAGTTTTCTGTGATCTAGAGGCTGTGTTGTCTGATGGCAAACATGTCTCTGTTGATGTAGTCCTGCTATACTGATCAGAGCTAGATAATGGCCACAGCCGAATGCTCCCATCTCCACCACCAGTGACAATGAGATCTTCACTTTGATTGACAGCAAGACTCCAAATATTGCGACCTGTCATAAGTATACATGTAGTTAAATACCTGGGTATAGTGATCAGAAAAAATTTCAGTATTTTTACATGGCAAAACTCACTCGTGTGTATTTAAAGGGAAAATCACCTTAAAGATGCTGCTCTGTTATGAGGTTTTGTAATCACACTTGTTCTTTCTGACTGTTGGTTTGAGATAATTCACTATTTTATTGGTATGGTCCATGCTTTTTTATTGGATACCTTTATAAGGTCTACTTACAGCTGCCTTGTCAAAACCCTGTTTGATACAAACCTCTGCTTACAACAGTCAACTCCAATTTGCTTCAGGGAGCTTCCACGGGCACCCAACTACGGTTTCCTCTTAAAAACATTGAAAACACTTTTTAGGCTATCCTGTGTACTTTAAGATCATTAGAAATGCATTCTTAGCGGCGATATAAAATTTGTACCTGTTCAGTCATCCTAGGGGAACTTGAGTCTTTTCAAAATTACAAGGGCTTTAGTATTATTTTCAAGAAAATTTTAGATGCAATTTAATGTTGTTTTTTTGATTCATCTCTCAATCACAGTTTTGAATCCGAAAATTTTAGGTTTCCTTTTTGTACAAAAAAAAGCCTAACCTGGGCAGTGAAATGTGAAAAATTAAACTTCAGAAAGTCGTAAGAATTTATTAGATGAGCTTCAAAAATTTACTTAAATCATCTAGAGATTTTTAGCCATCTTCAAGTAATAGGATATTCTAGGCAATATTTGCTTCTCCGAACAGATATTTTACAGAAAACAAGTCGTTGGATGCCTCTGGAGCTTTGACTCTATTACATATAGTTTTCTGCTTAAAAATCTGGATATGAGTGTGAATTATGTGGCAACAGCAATTATGTAAAAGTGGTCTCCAGGGCATATGGTACCCAGGATCTAGGGTTGTCAAAAAAGGTTTTAAGTAGAACAACAATTTAGGTAAGCACATTTAGATGGCACTGGTCCAGGAGATCATTTCCCTCACCCCCTTCTACATTCCTCCAATTAGTCACAGGTCAGGGTGGTGCCTTTAAAATGACACACACGTACCTGTATGTCCTCTGTGTGTTTTCACAATGTTTCCGTCATAGCTCCACACATTGCAGACTAAGTCCTCACCAATACTGACAAAACATGTCTCTAACAACTTGGCATCCCAGACTCTTGCTGTATGCCCATAAACTACAAGAAATGGTTCCACACAGCCATTTGTCTCTAAAGACTTTAAATTTGGAATCTTCCACAGGCGAATGCTCCTGTCATCTGAAACAGAGCTGAGAAGAGTTCCTGCTTTGTTAAAATTTATTGAAAATATGACACCCTCATGTCCTGTGAGTCTATGGAGCACAAGAGTCTTGTTCTGTTCATCTTTTTTACCATGTACTTTCCAAAGAAGAATTTGATTAAATACAGTTCCAGAAGCCAGAAATAAGTCATCCAAATGAGATCCAAAGAACTGAGCAGAGTATCTTTGCAGCAAAAACAACTGTTAAAGAAAACTGTCTTGACGGATCCATATTTTATGAGTAGTGGATGTGAAAATTTTAAGGCCATCTCTCCTACTTCTAATATTGATAAAGGGCACACGGTGTACTCAGGGACTCAATGAGATTCAAACCCATGGCCTCAGAAAGTGCATTAGTGCTGCACAGTGCTCTACCAACTCAGCTAAGAAGACCAACACATTGGGCACAGGCCAATTTGTTGAGTTCATCTTAACCAATAAAAGGAATAAAATGTAGAATGAAGATGATGTGAAAAATTGTGGAAATATCTTAGTACTTAAGTATTTAGTATTTAAGGACTTAAGTATTTCAGTGATAGTTATATTTAAGTTTCATCGTGTGAATGTAATTATGCACCCTATTGAAAAAAAGTGTCATTCATTCATACAAATCTAAATGAAGATATGACCATCGCAGTGTTAATTAATCGCAAATATTCATGCAATATTGAATTTTTGCAATATATTGCTTAAATTGCAATAAGCACTGTGATGGTCATATCTTTATTTAGATACTTAATTCATTTTTGGTAGACAAAGATACAGTATACAGGGTTCCTCACACTCGGCAATCAACTGCTTTGTATTGCTTTCCCAGTCCCACCACCACACAGCATTGTGAGCTGTTGCTATAGCAATGTATTTTGGCAAGTCTTCTTCACTGTACAGCCAATGAGCATCCCATATTAGATCAGGAAATGTTTGAATATCTGTTGCAGCCTTGACACTGAGATAAGACAAAAAGTGTTTTTCAGTATTATTTTAAAATGTAAAGAAGATCACCGGAATAGGGCTGTCACTAAGATTTCAAGTTGCTGAAAATATGAAATTAGTTGGTGGGGAGTTAAACTGCTAGGAAGTGTTTTGGATATATTTTCCTTTTGTTTTCTACAAGAGTAGCTAGGGCGTATGCTCATAGCAGTTGGGGTAAATCCCCAGTCCCTGGCCTTTAGTGACAGCCCTGTCGCTGACGCAACTGATGCTGTAAGTTGTGAAAAGAAAGCCTGAAAAAATTTCCGGCTTTCCAGGATTTGAGCCTGACCTCTGTGATCCCAGTGTAGGTGGACCGGGAGTTGGTCAATAAATTGGTTCGTAATGTACCTGGGAAAAATGAAGATGAAAAGATGAATATATGAATTTCATGTATTTGAACCACAGCAAATTTTATCATCACTTTGGGGCACTACTTCATGAAATACTTTAACTGAAGGAAATAAATGTTCTTGTTGTTATCGCAACTACCAAAGACCATTTCATTTACAGGTCTATAATTCACACCTGTGTAAATGATGCAAGTTGTGGCAATCAAACAGTGTGATGTGAAGTGCATCACGCCTTCGAGCATAAATACTACAGGAAAATTTTGTGTGTGCTGTGGACTCAGAAAATGACAAATGGCTCCATTAGAAATGAGCTTGAGTCCTGGAAGGATGGTTGTTGAACACCGGAGTTGGGAGGAAACTCAACAAGAACCTGGGAAAAGATCACCAGGGTAGGTCAAGAAGGAGATGGGAAGTTGCATTGATCAACAAGAGGCTTAGATACACCATGATTGAAGCTGGGAGAATCACATTCTGTACCAAGCTGTGAATGCTGCCATGTCCTGAAGAGAATTTGCGACCATTTCATTTACCCACTCACACCTACCACTTATGATGTCACCAGATTTGAAAAAAACTCTAGAGCTCAACTTACCTATAGCTACCAGACTGAGTGGCACTCTCTTGCAAACTGAGAACTCTGATAGCCTTTTGTCCAAAAATCACCACCAACTTACTGTACTTCTGTTCCACTATGCAAAAGAGAGGATAAACCAAAAAAAATTAGGATGAAATAATAAATTTGATGGCATGAAAATGAGAACCATCTGACAAAATATTTCTGTATGGTAAGACCATAATCAACAAAATAAATAATCAACCTTTGTACTTTACTTGGTTGAACTAATATAATTCACACAAGCCCTAGGTTTATAAATTTGTAGTGTGCAGCAGGAGGATCACGCTTGGATTGAAGTGGCCTGCAAACATGGGCGGCGCGTATATATTTCTATGTTGTACTACAGTCAATTCCCTCTAAGACGGACACCTTTGGGACCCGCAGTAAGTGTCCGTCTTAGAGAGATGTCCTTCTTATAGAGAGTCAAATGAAGGGAGTAAAGAAAGGCAGGGACCAACTCTAGGTGTCTGTTTTAGGGAGGTGTCCGTCTTATAGAGGTGTCCGTTAAGAGAGAGTCATCAAGCACCAAACTTTACCAGCTGTTTTTGAGGCCATTTTGGTGTTCAAAAAAGGCTTTTTGCAATAGATTTTGGCAGTAGAAAGATTTAACAGAGAACCTTGATGCAATTTGGACTATTAGCTTCAAAATAAGAGTGAAAATTGAGATTCAGGAGTGTCTCTCACTTAGCAGACAAGTTTGCTTCCGTTGCAAGTTTTGTGTGTCAGAAGTGCATTTCAATCTGGCTTTTTACCATCAAAAACTTTCAAGAATGTTTCTTTGAATTCATGTTACACTGATGCAAAACCACAATAAACTTGGCACTTCCCCGCCAATGGATTATTAAGACTTGTTTCAGCTCTGTACATTGATCCAGAGTTGAATTTGCAGCCAAACTTGCTGGGTTTTTTTCCATTTTTGCGACCAAAAAAATGCTTTGCAAAACACATGTAAAAATAAAATATGACAATGAAGCAAAAAAAGGAGACAAGAAAGAAAGAAAGAAGTAGGAGCCCTCATAGCAGGACATTCACGCCTGGTCACCCAACCAGTTCTTAACCCAGCTGACAGGGCTTAAATTAAAAGCTATACCAAGCTTGCCAGAGTTTCAAGAAATATTTCTGACTAGTATTTTAATGAAAAAGACAACAAGCAATTCTCTAGAGCATGTAGTTTATACCTCTTATTCCATGTATCCTTGATCTTGTCAAAAGGCATTCATTAATCAACAAAATTCCTTTTGTCACTGAGTGTATATAAAGGAATGGTCCATTTCCTGTAAAGAAATAATGTTATGGTAGAATGCGGAAGTTTTTCTGCCACTCTATGCCAATTCACAGAAATTAATGGATTGCTTTCAATTGATAGATCTGATCTGGGCACTACATCATTTGGCATAAACAAGTGCCACTGAACAGGGTATGTTTTCAAGGTCTTGAATTTTAAACAGCATATACAATTTCTTTACTTATATTAGCATCTTGAACAGGGTGTCTTTTCAACTGGAAGCCTTTACAAGAGTGAATGTTGGCGATAAGAGGCCAACATTTTTTCTAAAATGTCTAACTGCATGATGTTAGTTAGAAAAACTACTCAATTCTGTATGCAAAACTAAACAAATCAGGGTCATGAAATAAGGTCTATATTTGTCTTAACCTTTTAAGCCCCAATATCCACAAACAAATTCTCGAGACTGATCTCTATACATTTCCTTACAGAATTAGTTGGGAGAAATTGATAAAAGATCAGAGATTTTTTCTTTGTGATCATTTTATTAATTCTCATAGACTTTGCTCTTGACAATCTATGGATATTGTTAGAAGGAAATTGATGTTGGTCACTATTGGGACTTAAAGGGTTAAACAGGCTAGCAAAATGAACAATATTTTTGTTTTAAACAGCTGGGACAGGGATTAAAGGCCTTGGGGGTACACCCCTACCCAAACATTCCCTGAGTACCCCCCGGATTTGTTCATCGATTTTCATCAATAGTCCATTTAACAGATACAGGTCGAAACGAGGCTGGAGTTGACCTTGTTTTAATCCCTACATCCATACCTGGATTTTTGAAAACCGGGTTAGCAAAAATATCAACTCATTCTACTACTTGGCAATTTAAAACAACAAAACTCATTCAAAGGCCGATTAAAAGCCTTTATCTGATGCTGGGCAGTAGGTTAGTGGTCCCTAGAAGCATTCTAATGACTCCAAATTTAAACATGACGCAAATTTTAGAACATTTCTTCAGTAAACTGACTTCCCGAAGTTTCAAACCGATGTTATTTCAGTCTAGAAATTTTTAAGTTGAGTAAACTGCAGCGAAAGAGTGCCTGGTTAAGGCTTACATAACAACTTACCTAAATAGTTAGCAAAACACTACTTTTTTCGCAGTTCGATAAACAACAGGATTCCGCATGGAATAGACAACAAACTGAATGAAACGTAGTGCACAAATTATCACTTTCTTATCTGCAAAAATTGGCTTATGTTTATATGCCATTAGACTCCGCTGAAACTAGACCTAGATCCAATTTTCCTGAGTCAAGAGTCGGTTTCCAAGGTACAATCAGTTAAGCTAAACACCGACGAATCAATATTAATGGCTGGCACAGAATATTTTGGCCAAACCGCAGTTCAACCACGTGATCACACACCTGTCAACACCATGCGGAAATCACACAATCACACACTTTCGCGGCACTGATAAGACTATCCACAACCACGCATAATCTTCTCACGTTTAACATAAGTGAAATATCAATCGAATAACCCGGAAAACTCAGCCTATTGCCAGATAAACACCTCTGGACTTTTCTCTTACACACGTGTTATTCAAAGTTCCCGGATATAGAGTCACACGGTCGGCGGATCACCTTAGCCTTGTTTTCACACCAGAAAAAAACTAAGTCTTGGCCTGGGTCAGAGTTCACCGGCAATTTTGCTCTTACCTAATTCATTTGACTCCTAAGAGCCTGTTCCTGAGGCCAAAGACTTAGTGGTCACCTTAGAAAAGCGAACAATATCGTACCTTTCTGTCTCAGCCCGGATCAGGGTGATTGATCCGTTTAGCCAAATGAAACGAGAATATATAGAGGATATTACACGGTGGCGAGAAGATATGAATTTTATGTTCGAGTGGCAAGAACAATATCTCACTCGTTCGCTTCGCTCACTCGTGAGATATTGTTTTTCCCACGAGAACATAAAATTCATATCTTCGAGCCAACGTGTAATGTTCTTTTTATTATATGGAGAAACCATTTCAACAAAAGCAAAAGGCGGGAATCGAGACGTCATTGAACGATACGACACTCACAAAGGTGACATACGGAAAATACGCCACTCGGGTCCCGGATGAAGTGGCATATGGAATCTACGAGTGGTTTAGTTCCCAGTAAAACACTCTCCTCCATATAATAAAATATGATATTGGACG